TTTTGAAGCTGATAGTACGTAATCTTCAAAGTCCTGCTTATCGTGACCATATGAACCCACTCACAGAGAAAATAGCCTTTTTTGACAAAATAAAAGCTTTTAAGCAAATTTACATAGCAAAAGATGCCGGGACCAGCCCGCCTAACAGATTGAAACAAGGCATGGAATATTCCACTCGTGTCCGAGTTGTGAGTCAGATCTCTTTGTGTAAAATTTAAAATTTGTATTATATTGGCGAAGCCATTGCCAATGTAACCAACGTTCCGTTAATAACAAAATGAGATTCATAACATATACATGTACTTGGCCTTCCTCGAACTTATACTGAAGTTGTTTTAATGTTTTGGTAGAACTGATTGAAATACAGAATATCATGATATCGGAAAGACGATATATTTGAACTGCGGATAAAGATGTAAAGACAAGAAAGACCATCGCAGTTATGTAGTTATAGAGGCAGCGTGGCCGAGTGGTTAGGGCGCCGGACTTGAAATCCGGTGGTCGCGGATTCACGTCCCGCTTTAACCATTCCCCTAGTCCCGAGTTCAACTCCTCGATCATGCTTGTAAATAGCCAACTTGTCTACCTCCTTATTATGCCTCTTATTATGTTTATTTACAATATTTGTTTCTTTCAGTTTAAGTGGCATGCCTGAAAACTAGCTAGGTGTTGCTAAGTGCGTCCACCACTATAAACATTTTACATTTAACAACATTTTTTTAACAACATGCACACAACTTTAGCAACCGTGAAATCATAGTTCGTGAAGGGGACCCCTTTACTATGGTGAAATTCAGCGTTAAACGGGATTCGAAGCCTTGACCTTTGATGATGTTAAGATCATCGCAGTTATGTACAAGCCTTAGGTAGCTGTGAAATTTAAGCCTGAAAAAAAAAATTCAATTGCAAGTGATTATATGAAGAACATATATTTAAATTGAGGGGGGAAACGTAAAGACAAGCATGATCGGGTTCCAATATGTGGTCTTTCGTATATTCACATTCAATGGCATAAAAATTGGTCTTATAACTCGCGATCGTGCAAATCCCTAACCGCTGAGGGTGCGACTAGCAATACTTGAAGGCTTAACAATGTTGTATTAGACCAGTTACCAATGGCTCAGGGTGGAGACTACCATAAATAATGTCATTGAAAATACAATCTTGAGTCAGTGTGACTGTCATAATGGGCAAAAGACAAAACACAAATATTACAAATTTTAACACAAAGGCTGATTATCAAATGCACAGAAAGGAATTGAAATTAAAATGTTGTTCATTCAGAAGGCACTCAAAAAGAAGCAATAGCGAAAATAATAATTGCTATCAAAAACGAGAAATGAAAACAGACATACCCGGTAAATGCAATTTCTCTAAAGGCGCTGTCTTTCGGTCAAGCTGATTTGAATCTTCGATAACTATGAACACTCGAAAGAACTGCCTCTTCCCCAGGTCGCGCCGTTGGTTTCACCGGCAAAGAGCGGGAAATTGAGAGCGCGGTGCAAACTGAGTAGATGTTGAAACACCGAGAGCTTAACAGCCCACTTTCGTTTTATCAAAATTTTCGCGAGGCTTTCTGCCAAAAGTCTAAGTTTGGTCTTGTTTTCTTTGTATTAAGTCAGAGTATGGGAATTACCAGGCAAAGCGATCTTCGAATTCTACATAAGAAATCTACATAACAAAAGAAGCCGAGACCCGCCCCTTAACTGGCAAACGGCATGGAATCATTCACTCGTGTCCGGGTTGTACAAATTCTCTTTTGTGACGGAGCCATTAGCAACATAACCAACGTCTTTGTTAACAACAAAATGAGATTCATAGCATAAATTTGTCCTTTTCGAATTAACTTGAAAGTCGTTTTAATGTTTTGGTACGATTGATTAATCTTAATAAGTAGTTTCTTAGCGATCGATTTTGAATTAAAAACTAGCGCTAAAAAGTCATGACATTTCGACCTCCCCGAGGTCATTTTCAAGTGAGTAAAATTTTCTAAATTAGCATAAATATGTTAAAA